TAAAAAAAAATCCTTTGTAGCCCTTCATCTATTAAAAAAAATCAATAAGCTAAATAAAAAATCAGAAAAAGAAATAATAGTAACTTGGTCCCGTGCATCTACTATTATACCTACAATGATCGGACATACAATTTCTATTCATAATGGTAAGGAACATTTACCTATTTATATAACAGATCTTATGGTAGGTCACAAATTGGGAGAATTTGTATCTACTTTAAATTTCCGAGGACATGCAAAAAACGATACTAGATCTCGTCGTTAATGTTATTTTAAAAATATTTAGTAGGAGAGAAAGCTTATGTGGCTAAAAAAAAAAAAAGGGAAGTACGCGCTTTAGGTCGACATATATCTCTATCCGCTGACAAAGCAAGAAGAGTAATTAATCAAATTCGGGGGCGTTCCTATGAAGAAAACTTATGATACTGGAACTCATGCCCTATAGAGCATGTTATCCCATTTTGAAATTGGTTTATTCTGCAGCAGCAAATGCTAGTTCCAATATGGGTTCCGACGAAGCCAATTTACTAATTAGTAAAGCTGAGGTTAACGAAGGTACTAGTGTGAAGAAATTCAAGCCCCGAGCTCGGGGACGTAGTTATGCGATAAAAAGAACTACCTGTCATATAATTATTGTAGTGAAAGATACCTCTTTAGATGAATATGAAGAGATAGATTTTTTTAAAAACCTAGATAGGAAAAGAAAACTATGGTATATCATGATGTATATAGTAGTGGAGTAGTATGGGACAAAAATAAACCCACTTGGTTTCAGGCTTGGTACAACCCAAAGTCATCATTCGGTTTGGTTTACACAACCAAAAGATTATTCTGAAGGTCTACAAGAAGATCAAAAAATAAGAAATTTTATTAAAATTATATCCAAAAGAATATGAAAATATCTTCCGGCGCCGAGGGAATTGCCCATATAGAGATTCAAAAAAGAATCGATTTGATCCAAGTGATAATCTATATGGGATTCCCAAAAGTATTGATTGAAAATCGACCTCTAGGAATCGAAGAATTACAGATAAATTTACAAAAAAATTTCACTACGTGAACCGAAAACTTAATATTGCTATCACAAGAATTGAAAAACCTTACGGAAACCCTAATATTCTTGCAGAATTTATAGCCGGGCAATTAAAGAATAGAGTTTCATTTCGAAAAGCAATGAAAAAAGCCGTTGAATTAACTGAACAAGCAGACACAAAAGGAATTCAAGTGCAAATTGCAGGGCGTATCGACGGAAAAGAAATCGCACGTGTTGAATGGATCAGAGAGGGTAGGGTTCCGCTACAAACAATTCGAGCTAAAATTAATTATTGTTCCTATAGAGTTCGGACTATTTATGGGATATTAGGCATCAAAATTTGGATTTTTATAGACAAGGAAGAAGACTAAGAAATTTTAATTGTTTTTCGCTTCTATGCATTGATTGAATAAAAAAAGGAAACCAATTCATTCATTCTTCTTTCTGGTCAATCAAACTAATTCTTAATTCTAGAGGATTGAATAAAAAGTAGATTGACTTTGTGATATAATTGCTATGCTTAGTGTGTGACTCGTTGGTTTTTTTAAGGTTAGGGTTAAAAACCCGGTAGTATGAAAACCAATTCATCACTTCGTATTATCTGGATCGAAAGAACCAGTCAAGATATGATAAATCGTTCATATCCTTGTAGCAACTGAAATTTTTTTGAATAAACTTAAATTCGCAGTTTGAAGCAAAATCCAAAAGAAAGGGGCGGATAAATGGAAGGATGAGAGAAAGAGAGAAAAAAATATCTCGGATATAGAATTCCAATATGTAAGGTCTATGAAACATCTCATAAAAGACAGTGTAATAAAGCATCAATACTAAATAGATTAATAATTAAATATTAAATGAATCCTTCTTAATATAATATAAGAAAAAGTGTTTTTTACGAAGAAAATTAAGGGCTTGGAGCCAATAAAGACTAAGAAAGTTGACTCAAAAATAAATTGTGTTATGAGCTCCGTTGTAGAATTCTGACCTAACCATTTAAGTACGAAGCGGTGGAACGATGAGACCTGTGACCGAAAAAAATTTATTGAACAAACAAATCTTACTCATTCACTAGTAGGGATGGCGAAATGAACCAAAAAGAAATCTGAGAAGTCACGAAGAAGCGCTACGACTGAATATAGAGATTACAAAAGGAAATATTCGCCCGCGAAAGCTTTTTTCTTTGACTTGGTAGAAGGACAAAAGAAACTAAAGATTTATTAGAAGGTTCGAAAATTATTATTTTGATTTTGAAAATATTTTAGGAAAATGTGCGAATATCTGTTCAAATTAATTGAAATTGAATTTTGAATCCTTTCTATTCGCGAGGAGCTGAATGAGAAGAAACTCTCATGTCCAGTTCTGTAGTAGAGATGGAATTCCGAACCAACTATCAACTATAACCCCAAAAGAACTAGATTCCGTAAACAACATAGAGGAAGAATAAAGGGAATATCATATCGAGGTAATCATATTTGTTTCGGGAAATATGCTCTTCAGGCACTTGAACCCGCTTGGATCACATCTAGACAAATCGAAGCGGGTCGACGAGCAATGACACGAAATGCACGCCGTGGTGGAAAAATATGGGTGCGTATATTTCCAGACAAACCAGTTACAGTAAGACCCGCTGAAACACGTATGGGTTCTGGGAAAGGATACCCGGAATATTGGGTAGCTGTTGTTAAACCAGGGAAAATACTCTATGAGATGGGTGGAGTAAGTGAAACTATTGCTAGAAGGGCTATTTTAATAGCCGCATCCAAAATGCCTATACGAACTCAATTTGTTATTTCGGTCTAAAAATGTAGAACCGACAGAAATGAGTTTTGGGAATGAAACAAAATTGCAGGTTTCTTTTTTTGGACAACCAATATCTCTTTTAGTTTTTTCATCTTTTGCATTGAAAGAATAGAGCAAAAACTTGATATGATTCAACCTCAGACCCATTTGAATGTAGCGGATAACAGCGGAGCTCGAGAATTGATGTGTATTCGAATCATAGGAGCTAGTAATCGTCGATATGCTCATATTGGTGACGTTATTGTTGCCGTGATCAAAGAAGCAGTACCAAATATGCTCCTAGAAAAATCCGAGGTAGTCAGAGCTGTGATTGTTCGTACCTGTAAAGAACTTAAACGTGACAGCGGTATGATAATACGATATGATGACAATGCTGCAGTTGTAATTGATCAAGAAGGAAATCCAAGGGGAACTCGAATTTTTGGCGCAATTCCCCGGGAATTAAGACAATTAAATTTTACTAAAATAATTTCATTAGCTCCCGAGGTATTATAAAATAAAATAAGATCGTGATATCTTTGATTTATTTGACAGAAATAAATTAATAACGAAATTAATTCGTAGTATTGTGTCTCACGTATACACCTTGCAAAATTCATACTTCGAAACCAATAAAAACAAAAAAACATGTTGATTATATCCAATTTGAAAGCAACAATCATCTTAGTTCATCATGGGTAGAGACACTATTGCTGAGATAATAACCTCGATACGAAATGCCGATATGGATAGAAAAGAGTTGTTCGCATAGCATCTACTAATATTACCAAAATATTGTTAAAATCCTTTTCCGAGAAGGTTTTATCGAAAACGTCCGAAAACAGAGAGAAAAAGACAACTATTTTTTGGTTTTAACCCTGGGACATAGAAGAAATAGGAAAAGACCCTATAGAAAATTTTTAAATTTAAAACGGATTAGCCGACCGGGTCTACGAATCTATTCCAACTCTCAACAAATTCCTAGAATTTTGGGTGGGATGGGAATTCTAATTCTTTCTACTTCTCGAGGCATAATGACAGACCGGGAGGCTCGACTACAAGGAATCGGCGGAGAAATTTTGTGTTCCGTATGGTAATCCTTTTACTATCGAAATGGAATCCGAAACCTCTTCCTATTTGTAAAAAAAGAAAGAGGATCAGTTGCCTAATATCCTTTCTTCACCATTAGTTGATACTTCAGGGGGTCTTTACCTGGAATGAAAGAACAAAAATGGATTCATGAGGGTTTAATTACTGAATCACTTCCCAATGGCATGTTCCGGGTTCGGTTAGATAATGAAGATCTGGTTCTAGGTTATGTTTCAGGGAAGATCCGACGTAGTTTTATACGGATACTGCCGGGAGATAAAGTCAAAATTGAAGTAAGTCGTTATGATTCAACCAGAGGACGTATAATTTATCGACTCCGAAACAAGGATTCGAAAGATTAGGTGGTTTTTATTCACTACGATTCTAGATGAAAATTTCAAGAAACTTCTTTTCTACCAAAAAGTAAATTCGGAATTAAGATATAAGATAAGGAATAAAAACTATGAAAATAAGAGCTTCTGTTCGTAAAATTTGTGAAAATGTCGACTAATTCGCAGGCGGGGTCGCATTAGACTAATTTGTTCCAACCCGAGACATAAACAAAGACAAGGATAATCCGACTTGCTAAAGGACTCAATATACAAATAAAGAATCTCTTTTGACATGAAATGGATATATCCATATATTTCTGACTCATATTTATGAGATGATACAATATGGCAAAAGCTATACCGAGAACCGGTTCGCGTAGGAATGTACGTATTGGTTCACGTAAGAGTGCACGTAGAATCCCAAAGGGAGTTATTCATGTTCAAGCAAGTTTCAATAACACAATTGTAACGGTTACAGATGTACGGGGTCGGGTAGTCTCCTGGTCCTCGGCCGGTACTTGTGGATTGAAGGGTACGAGAAGAGGGACACCCTTTGCCGCCCAAACAGCGGCAGCAAATGCTATTCGTACAGTAGTCGATCAAGGTATGCAACGAGCAGAAGTCATGATAAAAGGCCCCGGTCTCGGAAGAGACGCGGCATTACGAGCTATTTGTCGAAGTGGTATACTATTAACTTTTATACGAGATGTAACCCCTATGCCACATAATGGCTGTAGACCCCCGAAAAAAAGACGTGTGTAGAAATG